GAGGCGGAAGGATCGCCGGAGCCCGGCAGGTCGAGGCTGCGGTGGCCGGGAGCGGCCACTACACTCCAGTCTGGGCGACCGAGTGAGACTCCGACTCCAAAAAAAAAAAGTATGAGTTATCAGAATATCAGTGGAATCTGGAGCCATAGATCAGAGAATCACTGATTTTTAAGAGAAAGAGGAGCTGCAAGAGACTTAAAAGGAATGCCACAATGATAAACAGAAGGAATATCCACACAGTCTGTTATAACAGGAGGCAGGAATGATGGCGAGTATTCATACTACTAAGCCAAGCAATTTAAAAATGAACATTGTGTACTGATAGGAACAAGCCAACAGAACAGGAGAGCTCTTACCCTCCATCCGGAGGCAAGATACTTCTGTGGGAAGGATGCGATGGACGGCACTAATGACTTCTGGTGCAACACTTCTGAAAATGTTGTACATACAAATCACCTGGGGATCACATTAAAATGCAGATTCTGGCTATGTATGTGTGGATAGGGTCTGGGATCCTGCATTTCTAAGATCCTAGGTGATGCCCCATGCTGCTAGTCCACAGAACACATTTTAAGTATTAAGGTTCTGCTGTGGCTCTCAAACTTTACCGAGCAAAAATATCACCTGGACAACTTCTTAAAACAGATTAGTGGGCCTCTACTCCTAACAGATTCTGATTCAGTAGGTCTGAGGTAAGACCTGATAATCTGCATTTCTTTCTCTTTTTTGAGTTGGAGTCTCACTCTGTCACCCAGGCTGCAGTGCAGGGTCATGCTCATGGCCTCCATCTGCTGGGCCTAGGCTTCCGCCTCCGCCTTCCAAGTAGCTGGAACTACAGGCGCCTACCACCACATCCTGCCAATTTCTGTGATTTATTATAGAGATGAGGTCTCATCAAGTTGCCCCGGCTGGTCTCGAACCCCCAGGCTCAGGCAATCCTCTCGCCTCAGCCTCCCAAATTGCTGGGATTACTGAGCGAGCCGTGGAGCCCAGCCTGCATTTAACAAGCTCCCAGGTGATGGTGATCAGTGATACTGCAGATATCCAGACTACACTTTGAGCTGCACAGCTCAACTATGGCTGGCCCCGGCAGAGAAAAAGCCAGGAAGTCCATCTGGGCTTCAAACATACTGCAAACAAGAAGTATTCTCGTACACCCAGTGGTGTCGTGGGGCAGTCACCGTCCATTACCAGTGTTCCTCATTCCTTTCATGGTCCCTCCCTGACTCCTTGCTCATAAGGCCAGAAGGGGCAAGGGCCTGTCCTCATTGTTTGCCAAGCCCCATGGTTACTTCATCAAAATGTATCGGTTCTTAATTGGCTTATTCGCTCCCAAGACTTACTCTCAGCAGTAGGTGCCTACTTTTTATGAAAAGTTTCAAAGCTTTACCTTGCTTAGTAAAGCCATCTCATAGTACTAAATCAAGCAGTTGCTGATGAATACTATTTTCTTTCCTCAAGGAATGAAGTTGCTCACCAGTCACATCTTCCCTGAGACAATTTAAGAAAAAAAACCTAATACAAAGGGGAGAGGGGGTAGGGGGAGAAATTCTACTTAGGGAAGAATCAATTCACCTCGTATTAAGCACAAAACAATGGATTTTGTGTAAAGCATCTTTTAATGAAAGAGAACGATTATACTGACTCTGCCCTCAAGCCTATTTGAGATAAGACATCAACAACCTTGTTGAAACATGACAAATGTCATATGGAAACCCAGCTGACATTTATTTTAATTAAAGGCCTCCAGCAGATACTTCCATCCACGCAGAACGTGCACTTGTTAAGAGCAACCGACACACAAAGGAGAAAACCCGCCAGCAGGGCGACTAGAAAAGGCTTCCTGGACGAAGTAACCTAATGCTGGAATCAGGCGAAGGAGCTGTCTTCTCACAGGTGGCGGTCCCAGAGAGCCATTCCTTTAATAAAAACCAACGGCCATGTCGTCTGAACATGTGCTGGTTAAGTAAAAGTCCGCATCTACTGTTTTTCACGGTGTGATTAAGAACGGTACCTAAAGGTGAAGCACAGTACCAGTCGTCACAAAAATCCGCCGCCCATCTAGCTGGGAGATGGAATAGCGCAGCAGACTGACAACACAGAGGGGCATCATTGCCAAGAAGAAACTAAGAAAACAGCACCCGTGGGGAACCGCCCCAGAGGGGCTCTTTGGGGACGCAAAAGCGTCTCTGAGGGTTCTCTCGCCGGCAGCAAGGGCTTCCCAGCACAGGACAGTGGCAACCGGGCACTGAGAGGTTTGCCAAGCCCGGGAGG